AGGGGGGGGGGGGGGGGGGGGCTACACTAAAAAAATCCTAAATCTTATAAGTAAAAACTCCATATGTAGGCTTCAAAAAGTGCTAGTTGAAAGCATTTGTATACCTTTTTAGAAAGGCTAAAAGTGAGCCTGTGCCCGGACTATGCACACAAACATACTTGCATATTTGAATAAGCAGTAAAGCCACTTTACAATAATGCCTCATTTCCCTCTGTAGCTATAGGCATTCTTTAAAGTTCACAACAGAGGCACTAAAACCTTAGTGTTTTTCCTATTACTTTCTATTGCACCAGAATCTTGGTAAGGTGGCTGTTAGAAATCAACCAAAAACCCTGCTTGCAATCTTTGTTGTGAACTTTATGGATCTTTTGAGAATTAATTATTTCACTTTACATTACAAGCAGCTAGAGAGGTCAGGGTTGGCTTGTTTTTATGCCCTTTTACTGATTTGTTGATGTAAATACTTTATTAGCCATAGCCTGGCCACAAGAACTCTAACAATAACCGTTTATGGGGTATTTTCAATAAATAAATGAACTGGGTGTGGTAAATACTTGATACCACCGTGAAAAGGTTACATAATACAGTTCAGACAAACATCTGTATTTTGAACTAATATCTCATTAAAATATATAAAGAAATAAACAAAATTGAGCACTTCATAAATGTTATCATTCTAAATGTTTAAAAGTCTCAATTGTCAATGTGTCACGTGTTTTGGTACTGACTAACTGTACCAAGCTTGTTGTATTATACTCAAAACCTTAAAGTGTATGTCCAAGCAAAACCTTTTTCTTGGTCTAGAATAGTGGAGTAAGATTAGAACCCCTGCATGTGTCCCTGTTGCCGAAATGTTTTTTTTCCCTCACTTCCTGTCTGGTAAAAGCATTGTCAACCGGACAGGAAGTGAGGGGTAGATATATCGGAGCCCGGGATAGCAGTAAAAACTTGACGAGATCCAGTCCTTCTCCACACTGAACTAATCCTTCTCTACTCTATCCAAAACTCTAAACGCTTTCAGTGCACAAAGTGTGGTAAAACAATTTCCCAAATGTTTCTTTTTTAGTGTAGGATATCCAGTACATGCAGCTAGTGCCTAGACACACCTAGGGCAGCTGCCCGGACATTCTCACTCTATTCTAGATAATACCTGTTATAAACAAGTATGACACTTCTTTTTGCATACCGGTGCGAATGATATGACAAGTATGTCATTCCTGGTTATTTTTAGCTACTGCTTTCATTTGCATATCCACCACAATACATTATTTTACCATTATGTGACATTTGCATTCATTTAGTTTTAGACTACAAGGATATCCGTATTTTTCATTGTTGCTATTATTGATAGAGTGGGTGTGGGTTTTTTAATGACAACCTAATGGTGGCTGCTTTGTTGCAAAGTTTAAAGAACTATGGGAATTTAAACAAAACTTACCCTTGTAGTGGGGCTAGCCACACACTGCAAGGGTTAAATACTAATTTTGTCTAGGCACATCAAGCAGATATACCCACCTTATCCTTGGTCTTAGTGCTCACCTCTCCCCGCCTCTGCTCTGGCTGTGGTATGTCTTTTGGCGTCCTCACATGTAATGCAAGTCAATTGACCCAATGTGATGACCTCCGTGGTCCTTAGACCGCCAGAGCGAAAGGGAGAAGAGGCTATAGGAACTAGTCTAGTAGCATGGTGGAATTGAGGATCATGTAAGTATATATTTGTTTTATTTGAGCCCCCTAGACAAAATGAGCACTTAACCTTTGCCTGCTGGGGTAGCCCCACTGCAAAGGCAAGTTTTTTATTTTTTTTAATTCCTGGCGTTCTTCTTTAAATGATTGTACACAGTGACATTTCTTAGTTCTAAAAATGTGTTTTCCTTAAAAGCTGGTTGGCTGTAAATCTGTAAAGTTTTTTGTTTTTTTTCCCATCATTAATTCTGAAGTGAAAGCACCGGGAGGTACAGGGACCTATAAACTAAAATACATTTTAAATGTCATTTGTACTTTGAGTCAAATTATGATTGCTTAAAATGCTTTTAATTGGTTCAAAGAACAAAGCAAAATAGCCTTGAATTAGGAAACAATGTATATAACCATATAGTTGTAGTCCTGGCTTTGACACATATATCAGCTTTGCTATAATTTTCGTCCCAGTACATGACAGCTACTAAGGATAATACCCATATAACGAGCTTTAAAAAGGTTTGAGCACCAATTAAAATGAATAAAAAATGTGTCCTATTTTGGCATTCAGAAGGCGTAGGTTGATTGTGACCAGGTATTATTTTGCTCATAAATTATTTTGTATTCTTCTATGTGGTTGCGACCAGATATAATTTTGCTCATAAATAATTTGTATTCTTCTATGTGGTTTAACAAATCAAACAGATGTGTGGGTAGCTGTATGTTAACCACCGATTGTGTCTTTTATTTTGCAGATGACATACACAACTCCTTTTCATTCCTGGATGACTCTGGGACTGCAACACTTAAATCTCGACCCGGTCCCCGCGTCAGACCAACACTTCAGTTCTCAACCAGTGTAAGTATTCTACAAAGACAAAATATCTTGTGTGTTACAATGATTCAGCATTCTGTATTCTTTCCTGAAGTTCTTAGAAAAAATAGATTCGGAGTGTTAAAATGTTTCATAATGCTGGCGTCTAGTTTCTGCTTGTTGTGTCAAGTCCCCTGCAAAGATTTGAAGTACTGTATATAATGGAGTTTTGCTTTCAGGTGGTAACAGCAAGCCGAACTTGGTGATCTATCTAGCTTTTATATTGAAGGTTGGCATAAAGCCTTTGACATAGATTAGTTTTGTTGCTTTGCATAAAGTCTTTTTAGAGCATAATTCTGAAGTATTTACTGAGTGGGGCTATGTACAATATTGCATATATCGATGGCCAGGGAGGTGGTGTGATTGTACACACTACACAGTGACATTTCTTAGTTATAAAAATGTGTTTTCCTTAAAAGCTGGTTGGCTATAAATCTGTAAAGTCTTTTTTTTTTTTTCCCATCAGTTCTATCATGTTAACAAATAATTTGGTTCATGTTGCCATATTAAGGGCCTGTTCATACCGAAGTGTCACATAAATCATACAATACCATGTGATTAATATATGCTATTGTACAACATCATCAGTTGCATTGCCATTCAATTGAATGGCACCCTAACGCACACACAGATTTTAATTGAAAAGTGGAAAAATACTTAATTTAGATGGGCGTGCACAGCCATACAGTGTGCACGCCCGTGCTGAGACCTGCTCTTGGGAGGGACAGGTGCTGCGTGTGATTGCGTGCAGCTGCCTGTACCTCACTATGGGTAGGTACATGCCAACCCAAACCTGCACATCCGTCCAGTTCCGGATCAGTGTGCCCACACTTGGATGCACACTGTCCATAGCATAGGGAGGTACCGGTGGCTGCATCCAGCACCTGCCCCTTCAAAGGACCTGTCCACACCCATGTGAATGAGCCCTTAGGAAAACAAAATTCATGCAGATAGAAGATGAACATTTTATAATAGAGTAGATAGTAAATACAGTATAAGTGGAGTTCCACAAAAAGATAAATAGGTAGAGGTTCAAGTAAAACTTGAAGGAAAATGTGTTAAAGCCCCACTCACACCTGTGAATTGGGCTGAACACTGAGTCCCACAAATTCCTCTGTGAGGCTAATGCGATCTGCTTTGGGCAGGAGTTGCTGTATAATCCATTGACAGGTGCCACCGCCTGCAGCTTTTCGCAAGTCATTCACAAGTAATTGGACATGCTGCCATTACCTGGTTATGACCACACCTGGATGCCGTCTTATTTTTGTCCAGGATTCATTCACCTGAAGGTAGTTGCAGCATGTGTCAGTATTGTGAATGGCTGTGGGCGGTGGTAGCTTTCTGCCCACAGCAGATTACATGATTCTCATGGAGAAATAGTGAAACTCATGCAGTTGGCCCCATTGGCAGGTTTAAATAGGGCTTAAAGCTTAACTCCACCCAAAAAAAGGGTTTTGTTTTTGCTTTTGACTATTTTGGGGAAGAGTTAGGAATTGGACCTCCTGTTAGGTTGTGACCTCGCTGGGGGAGATTTCCCTTTACTTTCTGTCTTAGTTCAACATACTTTAGTGATCTCCCTGGAATGCTGTTTCCCAGCCCCCTGGCTGTCTAAGACACTACAAGTGTACAGAATCTTAGTTCTGTCTTGTACCGGAACACCTTGTTTTGTTAAGGATCAGAATACAGAGTTGAGCTAATATTTTCCCAGTGTAAATATTTGAGGATGCTTGTGTAATACAACATATTTTTCTTTGTTTGCAATTTAACCCATTTGATATCTATATGATTTTATACCTGGATCTGCTAGGATCATTACACAAACATTTTCTTGTTTTACTGGTCCTAACCTGGTTCACAATATTGTGACACTTGGTAAATAAATCTATAGGAGATGACTAATGTTGCCAAAAATGTGTAACCAATAACTGTACTGGGGAAAAAGTGCTTCCTATAGGCACAGGCCTACTGTGTCTAATAATAGTCAACCCTGTTTATACTTAAAGGAGAACTATGGGGTTAGGGCTTTTCCCCATAGTTCTCCTAAGAGTAACGGGAGGACACAAACTAGCGTCCTCCCATGACCCAAAGCTCAGTAATACCGCGAGCTACGGCTCGCGATATACTGAGACGCCGCAGCCGGAACGGATCCCGACAATTCTGTCTGGATCCACCCAGCTGCGTGAGTGACAGCTGGCTCTGCCTATCTAGAGGCAGAGCCAGCTGTGCTCACCCCCTCCTCCGTCCGCTCCGCCAGTCAGCGCTGGAGGATCGGACAGGGGAGGGGGGATCCCTGCAGGGATCGGTACTGCTGCCTCATTATTAAATATCCCATTGTATAACATAAAACTGCAAAAAATTGCTAGTCATTGTTCCAAAATCTTCCTCCATTTAGTATTCCATTTTAACATTGAAGCCTAAATCCACCATCCTATTCACCCAGATTAATACCTGCACCCACCAGGGGTGCTATTTCAAGACTGCACTTGCACAGTGGCTACTCATCCCAGCACCATTCTAAAACCGCATTAGGGGTGAGCGGCTCTGGTGAAACCCGTGTGGAAATCCTGATGAATCCATCAGTTCTTTTGGCTTCCAGTCCTACTACAATTAAATTAATTTAGCTCAAATTCAAATGACCTAACTACAATAGGATTCAAGTCTCTCAAACAAAAACAGAGCTTAACCTCTGCCGTGCCAATGCTACAGACTGCCAACTGCACTGGACCCAACAAAAGTTATACCTTTTTATACCCTTACTTGCTACCAAGCTTCATAACCTTGATTTGTATTGTGAAATCTTACAAATTTAAAGTGATGCTGAACTCAGTGTACTTGAATGCATTTTTAAGATTGAACTCCTAACTATTCAAGAACACTAACAAAAATGTATCTTATTTGTTTATCACTCTGAAATCTCTGAATTTTTGCTGATACTGTCCTTCCGTCTGGAGGGTGGCTACTTTTTGTTCCTCAAGCTTGCTCCAGTGATGGACTATAACTTCAATACAAATTAGTAAACTAAATGTGAGATTGTAGTCCATCACAGGAGTGAGCTTGGGGGCTGAAAAGCCATATTTTAAAAAAGTGACTGCTCACAGACACCTCTGCCTTTCAGCAGCTTCTCTATCCCTGTCCCCTCTGATACCAGCTATTCGACTGACATCCTGTGTTTATGGCAGCTTCACCATCGGCTCACTTTTTCAGGAGGCCAAGCAGAGTGATTGGGAAACGTCTCCTATTTTCACCAGTCTCCTTTAGACTTTGTGTCCCGCTGGATCTGATGCTAAAGTCCTGATGTTTTTCAAAAGCGGACTTTTCATCACTGCTGTTTATACTGTCACTTCACAGGTGATAGTACTTAAAGTGATGCTAAACTCAGGAGTTAAATCTTAAAAATACATTCAAGTACCTTTTTAACTATTACCAAAAACATATTTTATTTGTGCATCGCTTAGCTGTAGATCCTCCAAACCATTTCTGAATTGGTGCTGACATTGTCCTTCCTTCTGGAGGGTGGCTACTTTTGTTCCCCATGGCCCCTGTTTGTGTTGTAAAGTAGTCACCACTCCAAGCTCACTCCTGTGAAGGACTACAATCTCATGTTTAGTTGACTAATTTGTTTAAAAATTGTAGTCCATCACAAGAGTGAGCTGGGAGCGGTGGCTACTTTATAACACACAGAGGGACCATGGGGAATAAAAGTAGCCACCCTCCAGAAGGAAGGACAGTTCTATACCAATTCAGAGATGACTGGAGGAGCAACATCCGAGTAATACACAAACAAGATTTGTGTATTTTTGTTAATAGTTAAGGTACTTTACATAGTCATTACATAGTATTTGAGGTTGAATAAAGACATTAGTCCATCAAGTCCAACCTATTAGGATCTCATTCTTAGGGTTTAGTGGATCACGAGTGGCCTGTTCAATAACTTGTTGCATTCAACGCTTGAAGTTTAGTGTCACTTTAAGACTGCAACTTTTCCAATCTAGACTTCTTGCATGATAAACAGGCAATGTCACTGTTGGATGCTAACTGCTGGATGTCCTGGTCACCACTTTATACTACTTTGAAAACGTTATTGGAAGAGCAGATCTCAACTGAAGACCAGCGGGCCATTAAATCTCTCAAGCCCAAAAAGAGTCGGGGCCTTGCCTTTTTGTACAGCACCAAATTGTAAAAAATACTGATCTTCAAACTCGACATCATGTAAAAACTTTCAATTGTGTCCAACGTTACAATAGAGAAAATAAAAAGGTGGGGTTTTTTAAGCACCAAATGACAAGTCCAATAAGCTCCAAGAAGAGGTTTTTGATAGAAAAATATTTTGGATATTTTGGAGCTCATTGGACTTTTTTTTCTTTTCCTTTTTGCTATTGTCACCTAACTAGGGGCTGTCACCTAACTACTCAGGATCTGCGCACCACAATAAATTTGTTCATGTGTCCAAAGTTGTCCATAACTTTAATCCTGACTCCTGACCGAAGCTATGCTTGGCACCCTGTTTGTAATATATCAGCCCTTCAGGTGTGGTGAAACTACAGATCCCATGATGCATCTGTCTCTGGGAGTAATGCCTGTGGCTCTGAGAATCTTGCAATGCCTCATGAGATTTGTAGTTTCACCACAGCTGGAGGGCCAGAGGTTCCCCACCCCTGTAATATATGGTCAGGTAAAACAAACTAAGATATATCCATCATTTATTTCTTCTAAGATGAATGTAATGTTTTTGTATGTAGTTTTGTTTCTCGCATTGTCAGCAAAATACTTTGTCCTTTCTTGCAGTTATGAATACCTTATGACCTCATTTACTGCTTACATATCATAAAAATGTACATTCCACCATGGTAAATCAATGCAACGTTTCAACTTAAGAAATAACAATAATCTAATACAGTGAAATGTGTCTCTTGCATTCATATCTTTAAGAATGCAGACCATACACACTCATGATGAAATGTAAGACAGGCATTGGATAATAAAAGCAAACTACACTATTGTGTTTGGAGTTGTAGAATAAGTCCCATTTATGCTAAGGATTATGAAATGGAGGCATCTCCACCAGCTGGCTACTGTATTCCGACAGCCAGTGCCTGCAGCTGTCAGATATTCAAACTGTGACTGCAGTCACTGTGTGGCTAAAAATTTTACATCCAGCTGCTTCAAAAATGTTGTTGATGCAGGGAGCACCGGCAGCCCCACTCACTGCTCAACTTTCAGCCAATTCATCAGGAAACACTCAAAATTCAATCCGTGTATGGCCAGCTTTGGAACCATTGTCAGGTTTTTATTGTCTTTGTATCCCCACAGGGTAGGTTCACCCTCCTCTATTTGTCCTGGTCACTATTGTCACCAGGACAGAATGTGATGGGAAATTCTAAATTTACAGTCACTGGAACAGAAGGTAAGGTTACATTTTAATGGGGGGACATTTTCCAGTGCCAAAAGTCAGAGGGGATTTCCCCAAAGAGGGCCTCCTCTCCTCATCATTCCATCACTGATGCTTCCATCTTCATCCGGTCTTCTGGGCCAAGAGTCTTTGGCCTTCTTCTCTGGCGGGACCAAGATCAGGCACAGGAGGTCTGTCCTGGCATCCATCACTTACTCCTGTAGAAAACTCTAGCAGGCAGGGGAGAGATTTTATATTGCAGAAAAGCCTACAGAAGTGTCTAAAGGGTTCTGTCCTGCCTGGTGTATGAGAGCTGCATTGAGATGAATGTCTTAATACATACATGTGCTCAGTTAAGGAAGAACTCCAGGCAGAATAAAACTTACCCTTCCAGTGGGGCTACCCCCACACTGCAGGAGTTAAAGTGCTCTTTTGGTCTAGGGTCGATAATAACCAAGATATACTTGTCTGAACCTCTGCCCCACCTAGCTGCTAGACCAGTCCCGGCAGTCTCTCCTCGTCCGCTCCAGCAGGGGATTGTCACTTTGTGCACTTAAACAATTGCAGTGCAGGAGTAGTCCCAATGCAAGGGTTACGTTTAATTCTGCCCAGAGTTCTTCTTTAAATTTATGTCTTGCTGTTTTGTGCTGAGCTGAACATGGGCTGCATAATCAGCCTGCATTAATACCGTTCTTCTGATAGAAGTTTTTCTGATTGGCTCTCCTGTGTGTACTTGGCCAATGCTGTATGTGAAGGCATACATTTTGGCACTCTTAGTAACACCCCACCTTACTGGCTTTTGGACAAGGTTGGAAACCCTAGCGTGGTCTCAGCGAGTATCTTTGGTTAGACAAACATTACTCAGTGTCAAATAAGCAAAAGATTTTGGTGCCATCCATTGTGTGAAATGGAACAGTAAAGTCTACAGACATAAAGTCATCACACTAGAATAAGGAAAAATAAGTCTGTGAAGGTTCTCATTCATCCAGGTCATGGTATATCTGTAAAAAAAGTCAAGGCAACTGTATTTTTCTTGAAGACGTTTCACTGTTCATCCAACTTGTTGGATGACCAGTGAAACATCTTCAAGAAAAATAGAGCAAGTCCAGTTGCCTTGACTTATTTTTTACAGATAAGGAAAAATAAGGTTTGCTGTGTTCATTATTTCTTTCTTTTTTGTTAATCAGATTAAGATTTTGTTTGAATAACCATTAGAGAGATCCAGTAGTTGTAAAATAGGCGAAACATCTCCGAAAAGTATATGTGATACAAATATCATGTATTTGGGGAAGCTAATCATAAAAGTCATGTATTTGGGGAAGCTAATCATAAAAGTTATTGATGCCTATTTCCACCTTTTTCTAATTACTTTACATTTTTAATTTCAGAACACAGATACTCAAGGACTTGCTGTACCTACTCCATCTGTCCCATCAGGGTATTCTGACAATGCTTCTATAGGTAAGCTCAGTGTCTGTCCTCTTTTTTTTTTTTTTTTAACCTACAGCACTGGTTCTAAAGTAAAGTTACCAAGGATCATGCCAGATCAGGGGTGATGACATCACATGCCAGTTTACATTCAATTCCCTAGAGGCAGACATGGGGGTCTTGTAATTGCAGTTTTTTCCTCCATCGCAAGATGGAGGAAAAATCTGTATGGACACAGATGTCAAAGTGGTGACCGGCTCCATGCTGCTGTGATCTGTGCACAGATCCTCTCCTGATCAGCTCGTGGGAAAGGGGCCTAACACCTAGTTGGGTAGTCAGGGATTTATAGAATAATCTCACTGTTTGGCTTTGCGGAGATCATACTATTATACAGAGTGACCTCAGGGCCCCGATGCAAGAATCCATGAAATCCATTGTTTTTAAAAACAAATTTTAGACAAAAAAAAAAAACACACTCTCCTCTTCCATGTCTCCAGATCCCCATTATCTCCCCTTTCACGTCCCCAGCTTTCCGCTCCCGGACCCCACACTCTCCTCTTCCATGTCCCCTTCATAGTCCCAGCTCCCTATATCACCCCTTCATGTCCGCAGCAGGCCTCTTACCGATGCAGCTCTCTATTTGGCAGCAGCGTTTTGTGTGATGAGGGGGCGGGGATAACCCGCTTCCCACTCATTGGCTGCTGCGCCGGCTGGATCATACTTCACGCTGCGCCCGGAACAAGGTGAGGGGCGCAGCGTGAAGCACGTAGGGCCCAGGACAGGAGGAAGAGGTCCCGGTACTGACATTAGCGGTTACTGGGATATTAAATATCCTGCTAATCAGCGGTTACCAGGAGCCCCTTCCTGTCCTAGGCCCCCTCCAAGTGGCGGAACTCCAGGGCCTGGTCGCAGCTGCGACCTCGGCGACCCTGGTAGTTCCACCATTGCCGTTTTATATGAAAGGAGGTTTTTCCAGAGGATAAAAAACTGCAAGCTGACCTTCTTTATACAGTATATCATCTATATTGATGCATTTATAGATGCAGTATATCTAAAGCCAACTTTTTTTTCATTCTAGATTGTGTAGGGAATGTTAGAACACCTGTCAGGTTTTTGTTTTTTTCCCTTCTGTGTCACATTCAAAAGATTTCCCTTTTACTTGCTGTCTTGTAGACACAACAGTAAGGGAGAAGAAGTTTGTCTAGTGAGGTATCACTAAGACAGTTGTCATTGGAACAAGTGTTCATTTAAAAATTATTCCTCCTATTCCTGTACAGGTTACAGCTCAAAATTTAGATTATCCCTAATTTTCATTATTGGTGACACTGGTCACCGGGACAACTATAAAAGGGTGAATCTGTCAAGCATAAACACAACCAACAGTAAAAACCTGGTAGGGGTATTAACACTTCCTCATTATATCCAAAATCAGAGAGGCAGAGTCAGCTGTCAATCAGGCAGCGGGGTAGATCCCAACAATATTATGCAGATCTTTCCCGGCTGCAGTGCAGCTCTGCGCTGTCAGCATGTAGTGGGCAATAGCCCATTACAATTGGAAATGTCCTCCTGTGACCCAAAAGAGAACTATAGCCAAAAAAGGTTTGGCCATAGTTCTCTTTTAAAGACTTGATGAGGACAGTTATGTTGTGACATATCTTTTATTTCTGATCTAAGACTTTAAAGAAATGTCTCTTTAGAACAGTAATGCCTTCAGCCACAGCATTCTGTGAGCTTGAAGCCAAAAAGGAAAATGTATCATTTTTAACAGCTGTTATACGTTAGTCACCTGGTACTGAGGAATTGCAGGCATCAATCAGATGCATAATCCAGATTTTTACTGCACCTCCAAAAAAAGCTCCAAAACCACTACAGGTAGTTAAATATTAAAGGAGAACTATGGGGTTAGGGCTTTTCCACGTAGTTCGCCAAAGGGGAATGGGAGAACACAAACTAGCATCCTCCCGTCACCCAAAGCTCAGTATACCACGAGCTACGGCTCGCGGTATACTGAGACGCCGGAACGGATCCCGACAATTCTGTCTGGATCCACCCAGCTGCATGAGTGACAGCTGGCTCTGCCTACCTAAAGGCAGAGCCAGCTGTACCCGCCGCCTCCACCGTCCATTCCGCCAGTCAGCGCTGGAGGATCGGACAAGCGGGGGGAAATCTGAGTGACAGTTACGGCTCTCTGCACGGATAGATTGAGAAGTGAGCGAGCGCCAGTATGTATTCACTCCCCAATTTACTGAGCCGACCTGTGACAGTTTCATTGTCATTGTCACCGGTCGGCTCAGATTATGAGGCTGAGTGAAAATCACTTGCCTCATAATTCTCTAACTACCTCCCGGCCAGCCGTGTATAAACGGCCGTCCGGGAGCTTCCTGGATGTAACAGGCCGTGTATACATGGCCTGTTAGTCCTGCCCACTCGTGTGCGGCGCGCGATCGGGAAAGACACTATTTAAAAACAGGCAGCAATGTCTGTTAACATACAAGTGAACTGCCGACTATAGAGCCGGCAGGTCGCTTGTATGAGGTCCCGGTATGTGGATGCACCCTCTGAGGCTTCCCCCTCCCGCTGATCCCGGGCTCTGCTGTGCCCGGTGCGAGCCCGGGACCAGCATAGTGCCTCTCTGACGGGATTAGAGTGAGGTCGGTTCACGATCTCCCTCCGGTCCCCTCTCCGCTGTCTGAATGCGAATATGATGTATATTGCATCACTTCCGCATTCTCGTGTCACTTTCCAGTTTCAGATGCTGGAGAGAAGCTGATGAAGCAGATCTGTGCTTCATCAGCTTCTTTAGGGGGGTTCTAGGTGACATTAGGGGACTTGGAGACCCCTGATGTCTCCATAAAGAGGACCTGTCGCATCTTTTGATATAACATAGGGGGGTTTCTCAGCCACCTCGGTGATGGCAATAAAGTTAAGTTAAAAAAAATAGGAAAGAAAATAAAATTTTCCACAATTTGTTTTTTAAAGTCCCCACCCCTACATACACGCATGTAAACATGTGTCAGGTGCGCATACCTACACCGCACATGTTACATATCGCCTCAAACGTTGCAGTAAGAGCAATAATTTTAGGGCCATTAATCACTGAGAACACTAAACTGATGAGCTGTAAAAGCTTTTAAAGCGTCGCCTACGGTCAATTTTGGGTATACTAGTTTTTTGCGGGTGCGCACAATTTTTAAGCTTGACATGTTTGGTGTCTATTTACCCGACGTGACCCCGTGTTTTATATTTTACCAAAAAATTGGGTAATTGTTTTATAACATAATGTAAAAAAAACTTTTTTTCCCCAAAATATTCTGTAATTTTTCCTGAATATAGTAACAAAAAGAAAGCTCTATCTGTCCCCCCCAAAATTGTATAAAATTCATATCAGTACAGCGTTGCATGACGGAATACACTGTAAATGTCAAAGTACTGCAGCGCTGAATACTGAAAAATGGCCTGGCCAGGAAGGGGGTCTAAACACCTGGTCAGCAAGTGTTTAAACATTCTTTTTCTGCTCTCAACGTACTGTTAAGGAGAACTATGACATGAGTGCTTTTCACTCACCTCCTAGTTCTAGCCGACCTGTGATAATGAGACTGTCACAGGTCGGCTCAGTAGATCGGGAGGTGAGCGAACACATACCGGCGTTCGCTTACCTCTCGATCCTGTCACAGCTCTCTGCCGGCTGGATTCTGGCGGAATGGATGGGGCGGGTACAGCTGGCTCTACCTCTAGATAGGCAGAGCCAGCTGTCGCTCACACAGCTGGGTGGATCCCGGCATAATTGTCGGCATCCGCTACAGCTGCGGCGTCTCAGTATACCGTGAGCAGTAGCTCGCGGTATACTGAGCTCAGGGTGACGGGAGGACGCTAGTTTGTGTCCTCCCATTACCCTAAGGAGAACTATGGGGAAAAGCCTTAACCCCATAGTTCTCCTTTAAAATAGTTTTGGCTTTTAGGAGAGCTGTATTAGAGGCCATATGAATCTGGCTGCTCACCATATTTAATTAAAAGAAAAAACAACCCTTAGTATTGTGGCTAATAGGGATGTCCAAGTACAAATGCTAGTACCCTCTCTTCTCCAATTCCATTTTCTGATCATTTTTCTTAAAGGGACATGTGACATTTTTTCTAAAACAATACAGACTAATTATTGTAGGGCAATTTCTTTATAATGATGAACTGTAACTCAGTCCATGATTCAGCCATGGAGAATGGCAACTGGCTATCGAGGACTACAAATCTCAGCAATCCATGATTATTCAGCAAGGGAGAATGGAGACCAGCAATGGAGGACTACAGCTCCCATAAATCCATATTATACAGGGCGGCGTTTTGGTCTCCCCAGGACTACATGTGGGTCTCTCCAGGGTTGTACAGGTGGGTCCCGGGCACTGTAGGCAGGTGCCGGGCTCGTGCCAGGCTCCAGGGCTTTATGGGCAGGTGTGGGGCGGTCCAGTGTTATGCCAGTCTTGGGGAGGAGGTGATGTGTGGCCAGATCGGCACTGTCGGACAGCTGCGGCGAGGTCCCCACCAGGCTGCCTGAAGTCCCCAGCAAGCATGGGACCTCAGGCAGCCGCTTGTGTTTTAAAAATTTAAGGGCCGGTATCGGCCTTTAGTTTCAAGGCATTTTCACGAGTACAATTACTTGTGAAAATGCTCTGTATCAGCCCTGTACTAGTATCGGTATTGGGACATCCCTAGTGGCTAGTGATTTCCTTACCTTCCCTCCCTTACTTCCAGTTGGACCAGCACACCACATCTATCGTGTATCTAAAAATAAAACTGTGGACTCCCACTACACCCAGTTTTTGCTGGAAGCATGGGATGGGTATAACCAAGAATGGCCCATTATACTTTGCTGATTCAACCTGGCCTTTTGTGATCCTGGCTGTCACATGCTTGGCTCTCACCAGCCTGCATTCAGTTTAGCAATCAAAACATTACTTTTTGGGTCTAGCTGGATGCAGTGATCAGTATTTGCTTCTTATAAGGGGCCATTTACACTTGTGCATTGCGGTAACATGATAAAAATTTGCTTTTTCTGTGCAGTACTGCAAAACACAGCATACTGTGGAGCTATCCACTTTAAATTGCACACTTAATGCACTAGTACAGTATCTTGGAACACCTTTGCACTGCTGTGTACCACAATGCTGTATCAGAAAAAAATTGTATTTTCATAGATTTTCATTGGTAACTCATTCTAACAATGTGCTGTTGTAACACAAGTTAAGATGTGAATGATCGTTGAGGATTTATATTCATTTCTGTATTTTTAACCTCACAATATACTGGAAGTGTTTTGATAGTTTTTTGCACATCAATGTAGGGAAAGCCACATTACAACTGGCTCAAGCAGCATCTGAATGTCAAGAAAACATCACCATTTTTTTTGTTTTGTTTTTGCAATACTGTAGGTAAACGTTGTCGGGCATATACTGTATGGCATGTTTGTACGACATAAGGTTTATAGTAAGGCCGCTGATGCATACAGGGGTTCATATAGTTAATTAGTGATGAGCCGAACATCCCCGTGTTCGGTTCGATTTCGAACTTTTGAACATGGGAAAAGTTTGAATTCAAACTCAATGCAAGTCTATGAGGGTAGAACTTTGAAAATCAATTGTCCCCATTTTGAAGCTTTGTATGCAATTTATTTGCCATAAAATGGGTATGGGGATTCGGGTACTGCCTTGGGGGACATGAATCAATGAAAAAAAATGTTAGGAAGGGCCCCATAAAAAAAAGCGTAGGGTTCCCCCAAAAGTCCTAACAGGCCCTTAAGGTCTGGTAGGAATTTTGAGGAACCCCACCCCCCAAAATGGGTGAGAAAGTGGGGTCCCCCCTAGAATTCCATACCAGACCCTTGATCCGAGCACAGTGTTGACGACTCGACGGATTAAAAAAATTAAAAAAATAGAAATAATTAGAAAAAAAAGACTGCCGCCCAGTCCACTGCGATGAACACCCGCCGCAGAATGGCATTTTGACAGATGCCAACAACTTATAAACAATTGGGGCGGAGCTAGCAGTGACGGCTAGCTCTGCCCACCTGTTTACAGTTGTAACAGGTGAGCCATGATTGGGCAGAGTCATCCTGACTGCCCAATCATGGCTCCCACAGTTCTCTGTGCCCTGATTGGGCAAAGTTGTGCACCTCACCTGTGGTCAGTTGCAAGCCTTTAACCAATTATGGCTTCACAAGGTAATTGCATTGCATTGCAATAATTGCATTGCTTTGTGGGGCGATCAGTGGCCAAATAGCCCGCCGAACGCTCTGATAGTTCGTGTGTTTGGTGAGCACACAAACTAGCGATGTTCGAGTCGAACTCACGTTCGAACATCGAGCCCAACCCTACAGTTAATGTTGTCAAATCATAACTGTTCCCAGATATGTAAAAAAAAATTGATTTGCAAACCATAAAGTAATCACATTAAATATTTTCTTATTGTAGGTAATGGACCAAAGATGAATGGAAACTACAGAATGTGTAGTTCTGTTGGGGATCTGCGCTTAACCAATTATTATGAACATCTCGATGAGGACATTCCTGCACCACCTTCTATGCCACCTCCACCACCACCTTCTATGCCACCTCCACCACCACCTACAAAGTTTCATGCTGCTCCACCCCAAGAAAGCCCTCCTTCGTCCACAATTTCCTCTCCTCCAGTATCTCCAAGTGTACCAGACTTCATACCACCCACTCCATATTCTTCTGCAACAACCGTACCTAATTATGAGCCTTCAACATACACTTCTACAGTTTCTCAACAACGCCAGACTGATAATTCCAAATGGAAATCGGAAGGAGCAAAAGATATGCCTATAAGCTTGCCCAACAGGTTTTCTTTAAATACTGCTGCTTTTCAGCACAATCATGGACAGACAACAAGCTATGTGGATCCCCACTCATCTTTGCCAAAGACCTTCAAAGTTGCTCCTCCTGCCCCAATGAGGACTTCATCAATACAGTTACAGGAACAACAGAATATAAACTACTCCACAGAGCCTCCACAATCACCCCTACCTTCTAGTTTCAATCCTAGTGTACAAGCCAAGCTTTATTCAGTATCAAACCCAAGGCAACAGGCTCTGAATGATGCATTAAACAAAAGAAGGTCAATGCTTATCATGGAGGATCTACAGGATCTGTCTCAAAAGGATCATGCGACTCAAAGCAATGCCAGCATAACAGATTCTACAGCTTCTGGGTCTTTGTCTCTAAAGTCTTCCATGAATACAAAGGCAGCTAGTGAACTACATACAGAAAGTAAGACTGGCATATTAAGTGATGATACACAATTAGAGCCTGGGTTTAATGACTATCTCCAAAAGCGTTATGCCAAAATTAATGCAAATGGAAGTGAATCACCATTATTGGTTTCTGGAAAAAATAAGGATGGATCAAAACGTCCTATGAGCAGTATTGAATTTTCTAAAATTACATTTAATGAAGATGCGTATAAACCAAATGGACATAAAAGTACAAAAGATGCTGTAAAGATCATCTCAGTGAAACCTATCTTAACAGACATGTCACTATCAAATACTGCAAATGCTGCAATAATTAATCATCAAGCTCCTCCTACACCACCCTCTATGCCCCCTCCACCACCTCCAACAATGACACCACCCAAACCACCAGCAGTGCCACCACCTCCTCCCCCACCACCTGTCACAGTTACACCACAAAATACTTATCCTACTCCTAATTTTGTTGCTCCACCACCTGCTCCCCCTCTTGTGGCCTCTATGCCACCAGTTCCTCAGGCATCCCCATTGCTTCCTCCAAAACCAAAGACAATTTCAGCCTCTTCTACATCACAAGTAATTATTCCTCCTCCGCCACCACCAAAAGCCCCACCAGCACCTCCACCACCTTTGCCGAGTCAAACTGGTACATCTACTCCAGAACCACAGTTGCCTTTACTTGAGGCACTTCAAGAAAAACAACGAACCCTAAAACAAATCTCTAAAATGTCTATAGAAGTTAGACCTGCTCAGGTATCTTCTATTAATGTGACTAGCGATGATGACCAAAAGGCTAGAGTTGGTAAAATTAAGGGCGAGTTAGAAGCTCTCTTCTCTCCAAAGAAAGATGAAAAATTAAGAGATCTTAAAAATTCTCGCCCAAGCCTGGAAGTAAATAAAAAGAGTACTAATGGAAATACTACTCAGAAAAAAGGTGGAGAAAACACCATTGTGAATTCTTTAATGATGAAAGTACCTCATATCCCTTCTGTACCTGAGAAAATAGATGTTGATGAAGACACTTCAGACTGGATACCTAAAAGTAACAACACAAATTTTCAGATTCCTGAACCAGACTATTTGCCAGTCACACCCATTAAAACAATGGAGAATCCAGCATATTCAGATTTGCAAAGTGATATTGCAAAGCCCTTATCCGAGATCTCTTCAAAACCAGCTTCCCCTCTAAAAGCCACAGGTGTAGTAAGTATAAAACAGAATGATATTCCAACCTACAAGCCGCATCGTGAGAGGAAGGCATCAGCTGAAAGCTTGGCCTTGAACAAATTACCCCTTGCAGTTTCAGAAACAACTCCAGTGGTGAGTTCAAATAAAGATGAAGCATCTGCATATCCAACAACTTCATTAAAAACAGAATCTCTCATAAAACAAGAGGAAGGCATAAATACACATCCTGTCACAGGCGAACAGGTGGAAAACAATTCTCCAATGGCTTTGCTTCTGGCTGCAAAGAAACGGGCCCAAAAGGGTAGCCGTTCTGTGGGTCTAGAACGTAGTAATCTGCCCAAAATGTCAGTTTCAAGTGGGTTAGTGACAAGTTCTTTGACTTCTCAGTATAATGATGATATACAAAACACATTTGTTGTTGTTCCGAAGAAAGAAAACGAGGGACAATTTGGTCAAGAGCAAGTAACCAGTTTTAGTTCTAAATCGAGCAGTCATTTGGGTAATGTTTCATCTTCTTCAAAATGGACAGATGGAGAGTTTCCGTCATCTAGTGTAAATATTTTAGGGTTAAAACCCAGTGATGAAAAGGGAAGTTCAATGCATGTGGGGGAAAAAAATGTTGTACAGGTTCCTACGAAAGACCGAAATGAAGAATTTTGGAAAGTAAAGTCTTCTGTCAACAAACTCCCCAATTCGACAAATATGTCAAATTCCATTGATGCATACACATTCAATATCTCCTCTGTCCCATCACCTGTGCCAGCGTCAAAGACATATGAGGACTTTAATTATGGAATAATACCTCCTCCAGCGCAATTCATGAGCACTTCACCATCCACAGATATTAACATGCATCAGACGGATAGATTATATGTTAACGAGTCAAAATCTGATTTAAGATCGGAATATCAGTGGAATAATAAAAGTGATTGGCCTTTGAGATCTCAGACAATCTCAAATAACAGTGACTTTAACAAGTACACAAGTGATAATTACAGCACCGGAATCAGCAGAGATCCACATAAAGTTTCCCTAATTAAGAAACGACTCTATATGCCGGATCCAGAAAGCTCAGGGAGCTACGGAAAAAATACACACTCTCTAAGGTCATCAGCTTTGCCAGTGTCTTATGGTCATATGCATTCTCTACCAACTAGTTCCAGCATGGCTCCAGAACCACGGCGTTCTAGCAATCCTTCAAGGTATATGCCACAGGGAAGGAGAGTATCTTCAGAAAATATTAACCAAAGGGTACCAACTATGACTGATATGAAATACAAACCTCAAAACCCTGAATATGGGAACTCAATGAGTAGGTAAGCACACACATATACTAAATCTATGAAAACCCTGAAGTGATTATAATTATTATTATTTTAATTTTCAATGTTTACCCATCTGCATACCGGTCTATTAATCAGTCAATTTATAAACCATCAACAACTTTATCCAAGTTTGCAAAGTGTTAAATATGCCTGAATAGGCTACTATTGCTCTGCAAATTGCAGGTATACAATGTCCCAATTTGTTTTTGCACCATGTCTGTCTATTTGTTGCTTTTTTGGAAGGGTTCCCTATTGCTTTGAGGTCTATGATGGATCTATTATTTAATGATAATAAATAATTTCCTGTAGCTTGCCATGTGTTCCATGTCAGAAGCAAATAAAAATACACCTGTGCACACATCTTCACACTGCATAGCTGTAGACTACAGCAACATAATGACTGTGTTCTTATGCGATACACCAATTGTTAAATCAATACTGTTCTGCTGCCTAATTTTAGAAGCTTGCAATATGCTGGGTAATAATTAACAGATATCAACACAATATAACACTGCACCAAATAAAGTATTTTCTCCGGCTTTGCTGTGATTTGGTCACACTTTAAGATCTGTTTGAATTGCTTTAGTTCAAGTGAATCTCAAAAGTGTTATCAAAGCAGTTTGAAGCTGAAGCAAATGTATACATTTTGCTGCACTGCATTGTACAAGGCTTTATAGGTAAACCTTTGGGATTATGCACATGGGTGTACAATATGCTGTGTTCAGAACCATAATGTATATGGATCTGAAGGCAGCAGTATTGTGGTCCGCAGCGTTTAGCTGCGGACCAAATCAAATCCAGAAAAATCTGCATTCATAGTCCTGTGGTTGGACTGTAATAGTATACGAACAGACCGCACTATCCAGAGAATTCCACTACTTCAGACTTTATTGAACTTCACAGCAAATCCAGTGTAACAGTGAAATAAAGTGTGTAAAGCAGCAAATACCAGCACCGCAAATGAATATGAATAAGCCTACGGGTAAAACATTTGAGGTTTTAGCTGGTTGGGGGGTGTGCGGTGCTGGTATTTGCTGTTTTACACACTTTAATTCATGGTTATACTGGATTTGCTGTGAATTTCAATGATGTCTGAAGTAGTGGAATTCTGTGGATAGTGCGGTCTGTTTGTATACTACTACATTCCAAGGTGGAGACGCACCTATTAGACCAGCACCTGGGGAGTCCTGATGGCGACTAAGGAATTAGAGCGGTGAGATTTCCTTTTGGCTCTACCTGTGTTTGGACTGTTTTATACTGGTATGCAATGTAATCATTTGTGATATCGTTTACATGCGTGCTGCATAGTTGACCCTGCTGCTGCAGCTCAGGACCTACATCTAAACAATGGTATGCAATCAGCAGGCATAGCTGCCACTAATTGCACACTATTGTTTACAGGTTGGCCGTGAATGAATCATACATGCAGCACTGCATGCGCACAATGACCTTGGCCTTCAGTCATTCAGAATGAATGATGGGCAAGGTCATTCTGTGAATGTGTTGCAGCTGCTGCATGAGTGATTTTGTTCAGGACCCACATGTAAACAATTGTGTTATAATCATGTCGGCCCTTCCTAGCGGATGGCTCATTTGAATCATTCACCAGGCATGGGTGAAGTAAAGGCCATCCAAGCTGCCTGTATGCATCTCAGCTCATACAGACATAAGTGGGTATGCCTGAGTCCAGATGCCGTACAATATGGCTGAGTGCATGAGGCCTTATGCATCCATGAATGCTGCCCACTGACCAGGAAACACGTGGCTTGCTTAGTCCTTTTCATAGCCCAGAGACAAACAAGCATAGAACTGTGGAGAATGGCAAGAAATGTCCAGCTTTATTGCTGCTGAGTGTCCACCCATGACTACTGACTGAACATGCATAAAAGCATTAAACGGAACTTGTGAGAATGGATAGAGGACCAATGGCCAGCGCTTTGGCTGTGTGTGTTGTGTGTTTTTTGTTTTGTATTTTTACAACCTGGTAGGGGCCACCAACCCATTTTGCTGGTGGCACTGCGGTATATGGTATTGCTGACCTGATATATTTTTTTTTTCAAAAGCACACAGAGCCAAGTATCAATCATCAGTTTGTTTACTAAATATAAGTGTAACATATTTAAAATAATATATGTGAAATGTATATATCCTATAATAAAGCAACATGACCTACTATTTCCACCAACACCAAGATACACTGTACGGTATTCTGTACAGTACTATATTCTCACTATTTTGCATAATCAATACTTAACTGATTTTTGTTCTCTAACTCCCTACAGACAACAAAGTACTTACCAGCCAGGCATGACCTTCACTGTGAGGCCAGGCACCCGGCAGCCAATATCACAGATGTATCAAGCAGGCTACCTCTGAAGGAAAGAGTTCTCCTGAATACCAAGGGCCTATAGTCTTGCCTATACTGTAAGCAGATATAAACAAGCCTGGAGATGCTGCTTGTGACTCTGATCTGACAAAATTGGCAATTTTAACATACCGGTTTGTGATTACTTGTTACTTTCAGTGTCTATTATACATGTGTAAAAAGGATATTTGCTATTTGAATGTTATCAATATATACCCCTATTGGCTTAATTTGGTAGGTCAAAGTGCACTGACTGTGTAACTATCTACTGTATAGCATCCAATGGGATCTCAGTTTACTGTGGTAAAATGTTTGAAAACTTTTTCTATTGGTTGCTGCACTTTGCACTGTCTTATTAAATGAGCCTGTGCGTACGTCAGCACTTTGGTCTTTGCCTTAAAACCTTGGGATTTATACACTCCTATCAAGTTTGCAGGAACAAAAATGACTTTTGAGCAGTTCTAACTTTGGAGCTAATCAAAAACCTTTAGCATATGTAATATTATTTTTATCTTCGCATTTCTTTGAGAATTTATTATACTCTACCTTTAAACTCTTTAATGTTCTATGTCTATTTTTACTAGATATTATTGATCATATGTTTGACTGTACTTTATTTGTCTTGAGGTTTATAAGCAGTTTTATTTTATAATTATATAAATATCTATTATAAAGATAATGCCTACTATGTAAAAATGATGTACATATATTATTATAAAAGGAGATCCTTACAAGGATGTCCCAAAGAAAGCACTTTTTGAATGTATATTCAATGTAAATATATATATGTATGTCAGGCGTTCTTTTATGTGCCTTTTGTTTATAGATATTCAGCATTAACAGTTTATTTTTGCTTTTAAAGAGGACCATGAAGCTTTTGCATGTTCTTTCCTCAAGGTTATTTTACAGCAATAAAATATTTTATGCAAAGTACTTTAACTGGTGTGATATTTTTGTTTTGTTCTATCCAAAACTTTAAGGTTTTGTCTTTACATGCACTTTAAAAGAAACCAACACAAATACAGAGCCATTGCTGCCTTCTCCTGGACATTCTATTTGTGTTTGCTTGCTAGCAGTAGATATATGCAAAAAAATTTAGGTTTTAATTATACTTTAAAGCAAATCCAGTTTTTGCAAGATACAAATACTTTAACTGAAAGAATCTCAAATTTAACTTAATATTTTAAGGCTGAAACTCCAGCCTTACTTCAGTCTTGTACAGTTCTACAGTCACCTCCTGTATTGAAATTGCTTACACAGATTTCACTGTACATGGTGAGCTTCTCCCAGTGTGCATTGACAGCTGCAGCAAGTCAGATAGAACACACCTAATTCCCTGAGTGGAAGACAATCCGCATCATCTAATTCTTACCTCCCCAGCCTAACTGTCCATGAACCACTGTGTTCATTAATTGGATTGCAGTTCTCTCAGTCATGGCAGCTTAACATCACATGTGGGCCTTATCTAGAATGGTCTGAATTCAAATGTGGGTAAGGATTAGATGTCTTGGCAGGTTTTACTGTAGTTGGGGCATTGTGGTAGAGATTCCTTCGCTTCCTGCCTTGTGAAAAGGCTGTCCCCAGGACAGGAAGAGAGGGTAAACCTCTCTAACAGCAACACAGACAGAAGTATATTTTTAAAGTGGGGGGATGCTAGAAACTCTGTCGGTTTTTTGATGTTGTCTGTTCCCCTGTTGCAGATTTCCCCTCACTTCCTGCTAACAACTGTGATTTATGTAAAATACAAGATTAATAATAGAATATAATTTGGAACAAATTTTCACAAAGTAAAGAAGAAATTATTTGCACAGGTATGTGTGCGAATGTGTGTATGTGTATATATA